GCCTGTCTGTGTTTGCTTTTTCTCCCTCCCTCCCTCCCGTCTGTCCTGGAACTCACTCTGTAGACCAGGCTAGCCTTGAACTCTAAAGCCAGCCCATCTCAGGCCACTACCCCAGGCTCTTCTTCTCCAGGCTGCCTGGCTCCTACTGAGCTGAGCTCTGCTTCCCTGTGTTCCCGCTGAGTTCCTGGGCCCAGGCCCTTAGCCTCCCTCCTCGTTGCTGGACACCAGACTCCACACTGAGGGACGTGGGGGCCTTGGTGTGCTCACAGAGCAGGGTATAAGCAGGAGCTACTTAGTGCCCTTTGGTTGGCCGGTCTAAGGACAGTAGAGCATGTCCCAGCTCTGGGAATCTTGTTTAAATGGGGGTTCTGACTCAGGGTCTGGGTGAACTCCATATCCTGCATGTGACAGGTTCCCACAGTGAGGCCCTGAATGGTGGGTGAGTTCCAGACATGCATTTCCCCACTGAGGCATTCGGGAGAGGTGGGTCTGCTCTGAGTAGAGGGCAAACACTGCCCCTGTAACGCAGAGGAACAATGGTGGCACCCACACCATGGAGTTAGGAGAGGAAGGGGGTCAGCGGTCTCAGGAAAGGGCTGAGTACAGTCAGTGGGAGCTGTTCTCACCAAATCTGGGACCGATAGCCAGGAGCTCATGGGACATACGGCAAAATAATGAATACCGTTCTTACTGGAACCTACTTTGATGGTTCTGGTTGTGGTCCTACTTTGGGATAGTATTTCTTTTCAACTGGAAACGTTCGAGGATACATGCTTCAGGAGGGCTGGTGCAAAACAGGTTTCAAGTCCCTTCCGACTCTGCTTTTTGATGGAAGGGTCTTTTGTCAGATGCATAGGGACGAGGTAATGAGCAGGGCTTTATTGTTTGGTGTCCTTCACTCTCAGCAGCTCTCTGGGAAGCACCATGGTGTAGGCACAGCAGGCTTTGTTGGCTTCCCAGGATATAAAGGGGGCATTGGAAACTGGTAGAGAGACCAAAAAGGAGGCCGTCAGATCCCTCCACAGTAGCTGCAGGGAACACAAGGTGGCCAGCATAGATCAGTAGAGGCCAGCCTTGCACAGGCTGCTGTCAATCCCAGAAGTCCAGGTTACAGATAGCCATGAACATAGGGTATGAACATCAGTGCTGGCCAAGGCCATGGACACAGGTGGTCTCAGCATCTAGAGCTGCTGCTGTCCGGAGCCCTAACTGTCTACAACTGTTGACAAGGAAATTAGTTTGGATGGAGCCATACTAGATATCCAGGCTCTCAGTTGTATTATACAAGTTGTAGGTGTTTACCAGAACATTCCATCATCAGAGTTCTGATGGAGACAAGAGAAGCCTAGAATAGAATTTTGAAAGATGCCATCTTCAGAGGGCCTGCTGGAGGAGTGTGAGCCGGAAAGACATGGCCACACAGCCCAGGGCAGAAGGAATTTCAAGGAAATGGACAGGCTTGCTGGCACATACCTGTAACAGCAGCACTCAGGAAGTGAAGGCAGGAGGATCTCGAGTTTGGGGCCAGCCCAGATTGCAAAGTAAATCTCAAAGGGGGGTGGAGGGTGAAGGGATGCTAAGTGCTACTGTAACATACAAAGGTCACTTTTTTATGACCCTTGTTTGTACTAGTGTGGCCATGGTTGGTTGAGTTACCTTACAGGGAGCCATTTCATTGAATTAATAAGGCCAGGAGCTGATCTGAAGAGATTTTGGGAACTAGAGAAAAGAAAGTAAACCAAGTAGACAGAAATATCTGTGTGTTGGCTGGGAAGAAAGGGAACAGACAGGAGGAACATAGCAAGGGACTTAGAACACAGCCCGGGCTCTCAGAACCCGGCAAGTGTCATATCTCACTTCCTTTTGGCTAAATGTGAGTGGCTTGGTCTCGCTCACACTGCAGGGTAGGAGGGTCCACAAAGGCTTGAATCCCAGGGCAGGGTCATGATGGTCATGAGACTCATGAGGGACGCTTGAGCCCTGTCCTAAGACCTAGCTGTGGGGACCAGTCCTCAGGGGATCCTGTTTGTTCCAGCCAGTTCACTGGGAGAACTCTGTTTAGGGACTCACAGTTTTCCTGGGTTCTTCTTCTGCAGAGTGACTTTAGGAATATTGGTCTGGATTTGTGTGTGTGTGTGTGTGTGTGTGTGTGTGTGTGTGTGTGTGTGTGTGTGTGTGTTCTCTGCCTTGTAATTTTCTGTTATCATTATATCTACTTGTAAATCTTTCCTTTAATTCTGCTGCATTTAATGTCAAAGAGATCTATTCTGAAGTCATTTTACTGTTTAGAAAATTTCCTAGCCGTGATGTCCTATTCCTTTGTTTTTTTGTTTTGTTTTTGAGGCAGGGCCATGCTATGTAGTCCATATGAATTTATAATACTTTTTTAAAGTCATATATCAAAATCTGGTGATCCTGGCATCATATGTGTTCACTGTGCATAAGGAATGTCCCAACACTCCTGTTTCTCTCAGGTGGGCAAAGGCAGGTATGTGATGTCTTATATAATGCTGAATTGGCTGACACTGTGTTACCTATTTGAGAAGGACTCATGGGAGCCTTTGGGTTATGGTCAGAAGCCCAGATAACTGCCCTGCCCCAGTCAGTTAAATCAGGACTGAGGTGAGCACTGAGTAAGTGTGAACTAGGATCACTATCCCAGGCCAGCGCTCCTGGAAGCCTCTCAGGAGACAGATGTTATGGCTCAACTAAGCAAACTACCTCAAGGACCCCTTTCAGTGTCTACCCAAATCCCTGGAGACCAGATGCCCAGCGCCCTGTAGCCACAGGGTTCTGTGCTCCAAGGGATTGAAACCCCAGGAGGGTTCCTCTCCACTAAACAGCACTGAGCTTTGACCTGCCAGCCTATGGCCACTCGGATTCCTTCAGAATGTGAGTGTTGGGAGCCAGGTGTTAGGGTGCTTCGAAATCTTAAGCTGGGCAGTAGTTGTGATGGGAAGATTTCCAAGTGCTTTTAACAGAGGGAAGGTCTCCTGACATTTTAATGTGGGCTGAGCGAGGGAAGAGTGTGTTGTGAGTACAGAGGCCAGAGGGGCTGTCCGGGTCAGCAGGGTCCACTGTAGCTGTCCCAGGTCTGGGGGAAATGTGGACAGTCCCAGATCTTTCTGTAGTTCCTCACAGGGAGAAGAGGACCCAGATGCACACCTCCCCCAGGCTAAGCTTGGGAGCATGAGTGTTTGAATGAATCACAAGTTAAAATAACTCCGATCTTTCTTCACTCTGTTGCTATTTTATAGGGAAAGGTTAACTCTGTTATCTTAAGTTCCCTGATGTTTACGAAGGTTTTAATTTCAGGGTCTCCAAAGAGTCTAAAGGGGTGGCTTTGCTCCCTTCCTCCCCATATACCCTGGGCCAGAGTTGCTACAGAGAAACTGAAGAGCTGAAGCATAACCTTGAGATGTCCTTCAGCTAGGGCCCAACTCAATCAGGAATCTCCAGTGAGGGTGACCTAATTCTGAAGGACCAGCCACAGAGGGAGGCACAGGGGTGACATTGGCTCAGCTGGCTGAGCCACTAGGATCTATTGGTCATGGCCCTGCTCTAGGGCAAATAAAGGCCAGACTGTGTGGAGCCTGAGCACCCTGAAACCCTGTCACAGCAGAGCATCAGACTCTGGGACCTTAGACACCACCGGTCCCTTAGGACAGTCCTGAGCTAGGCAGGCTGTAGGAGAACCCCGAGAGAGGGACTGTGGTCCTTGGGGGATAACCCGCATGGGTGTAGCAATTACAAGGTCAAATGGGGACATGGTCACTTAGGGTGTGGTCATTCAGGGGGGAAATCCCATTTGCCTTGGGCTGAATCCCAGCAGGGGCTCCTTGCAAGTGAGCTGAGGGCTCCTCTGTGTCCTGCTACTGTATGTCTGGTCATCTGCACTATGAGGCTGCGGTGTAGCCACAGATACAAAAGGAGCAGCTTGCACCTCACAGGGGCTTCCCCTCACCTGAAATGCCAGGGTCTGCTTAGATTCAACACTACTCTGCTCTAAATTAACAGTCTTCCATTTCTTGGGGTCACTTGTCAACCTGGAAGTAGATGCTTTCCACCCATCTGTTCATTCTTTCTGTCATAAAGACAATTTAAATGTTCATGGGTATTTAGTGACACCAGCTGGCAGGGCCATGGTGAACCCGGGCTGTAGTGTTGGTTTCCATGACTGGGGCAGTTTCACATCGGTGACCGACAGTCATGGAGGGCTGTGAGAAGCTGGATGCTGATAGAAAAGGTGACAAACTAGGGTCTCACCTTGGGGAAGGTGCACAAAACATTGTGGTTTGTTTCTGAAGGTTTGTGGATTAATTCAAACCAACTGCATCACAGGGCAGGGATTAGGCCCTGAGCCAGCCCTGTGTCTACCCAGTGCCCCAGCCTTGCACAATACATATGCCCTGCACTAGCCACTAGTCACCCAACTCTACCTGCCTTTCCCCCATCAAAAGCTACTCTGTCCCTGTGTGGATGTAGAACAGGGCGAGGGAGACCCCAGAGCCATCTCTGTCAGGTTATGAGGAGCTGCAGGCCTCAGAGAAGCATGCATTTCGAAGATGTTCGAAGCAGGGACAGACTGCTTATGGCCTTGGAGTCCCTTCTGCCTGTGCAGCGTGCAGGCCCAGGGGCCAGCCTGGTGTGTGCAGGTCCAGTGCTGTTCATCCTTGAAGACTTTTGGTTACCATGGGTATTAAAATGCCTGCTACCAGCAGCTTCTGCTTTAAGCCGAATTCCCATGTGTTCTCTAATCAGCAGACCAGAGATGGCCACACTCTCCAGTGCTGCAGGAAGAGGTGCTCCCCAGGGAGGCTATGGCTACTGTGGGGGCAGAAACTGAGAAAGGGGAGAGACCTGCCTGTATCAGGGGCACAGTGCTCTCTGCACAGATGTGGTGCCTGGGCTCATGAGGCCAAGCTGTACAGTCTCTAGGCTCATAGGGACAGAGTAAAGACTTGGCTTTACTCTGGTGTTCTGTCTTTTCTTGGGCCCAGGACCTCCCACTCCATCCAGGGAGAAGCCAGAGGCTTCTCAGGCCCCCAGCATCACAGCAGACCCCACCCAGACTAGACATTCTCTCCAAGCCAGGTGAGGACTTCAGGGAGTAGGCTGTGGGCAGGAGCCTGGGGCATCTCCTTCCTGGAGTTCCAATTCTCTGACTTGAGAATCTGCAGAGTGGGGCCTCTGCCCTGTCCATGCCACTCCTTAGACGTGCATGACTCATTGGCTGTCCTGTGCTCTCTCAACAGCAAATGAAGATGGTGGCAGAAAACCTGAAGGAGGAGTCCCAGGAAGATGGGAAGAAAGCTCCCTGAGCCCCAGTGTGCTGGCCGTGCCATCCCCAAATTCTGCTGAGGAATACCCGCCTCACACCTGCACAGGGTGGGGGTACCAGCCTGAACTCAGGCCAGATGCTTGGCTGTGTGAAGTGGCTGACACACAGGGGGCACACTTACCCTGCAAGGTCCGCTCCATGGGAAGAGAGGCTGGGACCCTTGGTAGCTCCATGGTGCCCTCTCATTTGGCCCCTCCTAGGTGAACACACCCCAGCAGCCACCTCACTGCTCCAGAGCCCCCGCTGCCCTGAACTTCATTCCTAAGGAGTCACCAGCTTTCCACATGGCAGTCACAGTAGGTGCCAGTCACTTCCAACCCCACCAGGGCCCCGAGAGGGAGTGGTGGCTTAGGGTCTATGCCTATTATGCTGATTCACATGGGCCATGCTAAGGGGGCCCCACACCTTGACTCCTCCTGGTTCTGTGTTAACTGGCACTAAACAAGCTATTAAAGACACCCCCTCCCCCTCCCCCCGACTCCTGTTTCCTCCCAGACTCTACAAACACTTCAGCTGCCTCCTGAGCTAGGTGGTGACGTGGGGATCCCAGGAGTCCAGTGAAGTCCCAAAGCTCGCAGCCAGGCCCAGGTTTTCGAGGGACATTGCTGCTGCTGACACCTGAGGGAAGCCCAACATGGGCCGGAACTTGCAGCAGAGAGAGTGGTGTTACTGCCAGCAGTACTGGCTGCCTCCCACCTGAACCTACAGTGTTCACTGTCTTGAGGTATGACAGCCCAGCCAGGAAGCAAGGCCTATAAGGGTGGGAGCTGATGCCCTTGCTGGACCCTGTGAGCTCTCCTGGCAGCAGGCTAGCCATCTAGCTCCTCCCAGCATGAGCTCTGATAGCCTGCTCCACACAGCTCAGTGGTCTGCACCTGCATGTTCCACTTTACCCAGATAGGTGGTGGCAGCTGGCTCGGTATCACTTGTTTTTAGGAGCCCTGACTCTGACCTTTGTCCTTTACCTTGAAAGGAGAGACAGTCCAGGGAACGCTATTGCAGTGGTTTATTGGGTTCCTGATGGAACGTTCTAGATCTGGCTCATGTTTTAAACAGCCAGTAAATGGCAGCCACCAAAGACGACCTGAGCCCTGGGACCCCAAGATCTTCCCCTTAGTCCCCCAGCTCTCATCAACAGGCTCAGATAATATGGTGTCCACCCCCCACTTGGCTGGGATAAGGAGTGCCATGAGTCAGTACCCAGGACAGGACCAGGGACAGGCCTATAAAGGCTAGAATAAAGTTCAAACCTTTTTTTCTCAGAGCAGGGTGGTTGAGGCCCAAAGAGGAAAAGGGACACCCCGGGAAATGTGAGTGGGGGGCTTTGGACTCCATACCTCGTATTCTCCTAGCCACCCAGCGGCTGCCACAAAAGTCACCATGTAGGCCAGCCGTGGGAAAAAGGCCTTTGCTTCAAGAGCCCCAGGCCCAAGGGAGGCAAGTGTCAGCTCAGTCTCTCACACAAGCCTGTCTCACAGGCCCTGCCTGGAAGACTTCCCAGCAAGACGTGACATGAAGCAGCTGAGTCTGGATGCAGCCCTCACCAGGAGGGAGGTGCTCCTAGGGACAGCTACCTCAGTGTCCAAGTCCTTGCTCCAGCAGGTTCCAGAAGATTCCAGGGCTGTATCCCAGGGTCCTAGGCTCTGGATCCTAGATAAAGGGAGACCTAACTCCCTGTCCCAGGGGCCCTGGAGGCCAGGCCTCACTTTGCCTAACTAAGGAAGGTTTGGAGGACTGCCTCCTCCCACCACATGCCACCTCCAAGTTCGAGATACAACTGCCACCAAGTCCCACAGGTCAGTAGAACTGGATGGCAATGGGGTTGGCCCTAGGCCAAATCACTTCACATCAACCTCCACAGCCCCATGTGCACGGACAGATAGATGTGTTTCCGAGCCACAGACACACCTGGGCACCTCCCATCACACCCCTCCCTGAAGCTCTTTCTGCTGGGTTGTTCAGTGCCAGTCCAGAGCACCCCGTGGTGGTTCCTGGCAGACCATGCCTGTGCAGGCAGCCCCAGGTGGCCCTCGGGTGGGAAGGGTATCAGGCATGTGTCCCCCATTTTTATTTGACTGTCTGTCTATGGCAGACTGTGAAACCCCCTCCCCCCACAGCAGCTAAAAATCTCAGACTCTGAACAAACTTTGATGAGAGCAATGTTGAAAGAAACCCAGCCAGGCTTCAAAGTATGAAGCCAGGGTTCCCCCAGCTTCCTCACGCTGGCTCCATTCGATGGGAAGGAAGCAGGTACAGAGAACCTAAGTGACCTACCCTTTGCCAGCTGCCATGAGGGCACCCATTGCCTATAGCACTCTACTTCACAGATTTCCTTCTGAGAATCCAGCCCTAAGCCCCACAGTTCCTGCCCCCTTCCAGCAGGAAACAAACACCCCGAGGAAAGGGGAAAGGTCACAGGATGAGGGCCCTGCAGTCTATGAGGACCAGGCCGGATGCAGCACTTCCATCAATGACCAGATGACGTGGGCCCTGGGGACTCCATGCCTGCCTTCATGCTCCACTCAAGGGTGGTCTGAGGAGACGGGGACCTGATAATCTGGAGTTGTTATCAGGGCAGCCACATCCTCAGGTTCTATGCCTTCAGTTTGGGAGCACATTTCCCTCCAAACTACAAAAAGGAAGGAAGCCAAGGGAAGAGGTTTGTTCAGGTTTTTCCAAGTGGGCACCAGGGCTGTGCGTGGAGGTCTGTCCCCGAGTGTCTCAAGGTAAGGAGCCAAAGCGGCATAAGTGGACTGACAGAGGACAGAATTGGTGAAGAACCAGCTGAGGTGTGGGTACCCAGTGGTGCACACAGAACATTTACCAAAACATAGGTTATGCATCGTCCCAGAAAACAAGCTTTGTACATTTAAAAAGACTGAAGTGATTGCATTCCAATGAAGATAGAAAGAATCCAGCTAGAAAACTCATCCCCATACTCAGAAATTAAGCAGCCCGTAAGACATCACAGTTTAAAGATTTATTTTTGTGTGTATGGAGTATTTGCCTGCATGTGTATCTGTACACCATGTGTTTGTCTTGTCCAAGGAGGCCAGAAGGTGGTATTGGACTTCCTAGACTTGGAGTCATTGTTGATTGAACCGCCACGTGGGTGCTGGGAACTAAGCCCGGGCGTCTGCAAGAGCAGCCAGTGCTCTAACCATAAAGCCATCTCTATCACTGTGGCTTAGTTGAAAAGTATCTTTTACATTTCTGGGTAGAGAACAGACAACAGAAATGAGGAACACTCAGTAAGTGAAGGTGGAGTCCCAGACCAGAGAGAGGCACCAGAGGAACAACAAAAGGGCGAGAACTCGGGACTCACAGGTAGAGTGTTGGGATGGGTGCAGAGGAGGGGGGGTGCGGTGCTGATTTGACTGTGAACTTGACACAATGAGTCCCCAGGAGCCCAGAGAACAATGAATGTGGGTGATCTTACCACCTCCCCTTCAAGGGATTGTTTAGCCTGGGAAAATCCATCCTAAAGCTAAACTGAGAGCCACCATTCATCGCTCTGCCTCCTGACTGTGACCCAATGTACCTGCTTGCTTAAGTGTCTGGGGCCATGACATCATGGCCAGGACAATGAGCTAAAATAAGCCTCCATCTAAAATGGTCCTTGTCAGACATTTTATCTCAGCAACAACACAGGTAACTATAGGAAGTCGGTACTGAGAAGCAGGCTCATTGCCAAGGTCCACCTGACTCTGTTTCTTGGGTCTCTGGGATAATTTTGTGACAGAAATGTGATTTTGGAACTCTGGGCCAGAAAAATCTGTTGACTCCTGTAAGCGGAGATCAATGGACATTCTGGAGGTTAACCTGGAAGACACATGTTGAGAGAGACAAGGGCTGAGGAGGCCCCTTCATGAGGTTCCAGAGGGACAAGGACTTTTAGGGACCGGGCTGGAGACCGTTCAAATTATATTCTAGTTAAGAATCCGTTTTCATTCTATCCATCTCCCAAGATCTTGAATACAGCCAAACTTGAAGGAAATGGACTGAGGGGCTTGATGGAGGAAAGTTGAAGAGAACATTCAAGCTATGGCTACTTAACCACAGCTAATAGACACCCAGAGTAGAAAACAAGCAAAAACATAGCAAAAAGATTTTAAAAAGTCACAGTTTCATGAGGAAAAATTGGAGCAAATGTGAAAGTCTCAGAGAAAGAGCATGCATACAGCAACCTGCTGAGCATTCAGGAGAAGCTGGTGCTCCGGGTAGGGAGCCCTAGGGAAAGCCCCACCCATGGAAGCATCTGTCTTGTGCATAAAGGAGGGGTTCCCTGCTCAGGGTCAGCTCTTGATGCCAGTGGTCCAAGGGGTCCACGCGGCTTACCTAGCTGGCAGCAGAACTTGGCAGCATTGTCCACACTGTACTGTTGAGGCCAGGCAGTCTGTAGCAGTCAGTGTCCCTGAAGGAAGGTCCTGAAAGATTACTATGCAAAGCTGTGAAGATAAAACCCAATGTGTGGTGGAGACCCATGGATGTTAGAGGTCAAAGCTGCAGGAATGGAGTGTAGCCCAAGACGGAGGCTGTGTGTGCAGGAGGGCAGAGCTGGAAGCCCTTTGGAGCCCAGAGATTACATAGTAAGCCCCAGATGCCAGACATGGAGCTGCAGGACCAAAGGCTTGTCTCACTTAGGTCTGGTCCTCCTTACCATACACCCATGCTTCTCTTCGGTATGGGGTTGCTCACTCTAAACACTGTGTGTTGAAACGATGTAATTGGTTTGTTGTATAGGTGCTCACAGCTAAGACATGGCTTTGAGCCTCAGATGAGACACAGGTTCTGGACTTTTGAATAATGTTGGAACAGGATCCAGAGTCACCTAGGAGACAGTCTTCCGTCTATATCTGTGGGGGATTGTCTACACTTAGCCTTTGGGGAGGTCTGTGAGGGATTTCAGATTAGCTGAAGTGGAAAGACACCCCCCCCCCAACTGTGGACAAATAAAAGGAGAGCAGAGTACCAGCATCCAACTGTGCTTCCTGTTGTGGATGCATCATGACCAGCAATTCAAGCACCTGTCTTCCCTGCCATGGTGGATTTCACTGGAGCCAAAGTAAACCCTGCCTTCCTTAGGCTGCCAGTCAGGTATTTTGTTGCTGGATGAGACAAGTCACTAATGCAGGCTGCTACCAGGAATTCTGGTTCACAAAACTTCTGCAGTTGCCATTTGATGGGCAGGAAGATTTTCAAGGGAAAGTCTGTGTTTGGCGCTTGGGAGACTGTGATACTCTCTAGATGGATGTACATAGGTGTTCAGTCAAAGAGGGGACTGAAACATGTTCCTGGGAGAGAGGGGTATGTTTGGAAGATTTGCAAGCATGTGTTTGAGCCTGCATGGGTTGCTGAAAGAGAACCGTGACTACCTAAGGGTCAGTGGGAAGACTGCGGGGGGGGGGGGGGGGGGGGGGGGGGCGGG